GTGAACAACTTGTGTTTCGCGCGCTCATATGACCTTAGCAGTTGAGAGCGCCGTAAAACCTTATACTACTACTACTACACCCCACTGTTTGTCTTACTTTTCCGCAGCACTAAATGACTGTTGTGCAGATGTGCTGTTCACTAAAACAAACCAAACGACGCACCCCCCCCCCCCCCCCACCCTGTTTTAAATGACTGTTGATTCTTTACCAATGTGATTCTCTTTACTCGAGCAAATTGCATTCCCCTCCCCTTGTATCTATTAAATGACCGTCAATTCTGTCGATGTGATTATAAAAATGATCGCTTTTAAGGACAAGCGGGCTGAACCAGATTACGCAGGTTTCCAAAAATCTTGACCTACACCAAAAGTGGGCATTGCTCTACCTATGCAAGTTTGGATTCATTGATGTGGATATTTGTTTATAGAGAACTGTCCTTGTCCTTTAAAGGAACTGAACAAAGGGCAAAAACTTTACCTTCAATTTTCAAAACAGCTTTTCTCGGGAGAGCCCCCTTGTGCTTAAAAGCGACCAAATAACGGATACACGTTTGTTCCATAGCACCAACGTACCTGAGGGAACAAGCCATCCAAATGAAGCGCACCGGCGCCCTGGTGATCAGTATCGGTGTCGGTCACAACATCCAGAAGAGCGAGCTGCGTGTTCTGGCCTCGGACAGGTCGCTCGTATTTACGGCTCAAGACTTTGACAAGCTTGACCACATCCTGAATGAAGTTTCTACCAAAACGTGTGATGTTGCTGTAAAAGGTGTGAAGTTGCTGTGGTACTTTATTTAAAAAAAAAATTATTTGGCTTTAGTTCTAACCAGGTGCATCTTTTAGCTAACTGAACTGAAGTTGCGTGATTTTAGGGGGTTTTTTGGTGTTTTTTTTAAAAGTTTGGCCTCCCAAGTTTTTGCTGAGCACTCTAATTTTTACCAAGTTCATATTTTTAGCTCGCTGTAACAAATCTTGTGCATTATTTGTGTAGGTGGTGTGGACGTATATTTGCAATTCTTAACTTAAGGTTTGTTTTCCTGCAGATCGTGTGTTCAATGCGAAACTGGACGTTCTTTTTCTGGTCGACGAATCTTCAAGCGTTGGAGTAGACAATTTCAAGCTGGAGCTGAGCTTTGTTCGCAATGTCACCCGTACGTACTGCTATGTGCTGTCTTAGTTTCGGTGGTTGACAGGGGAGCTGAGGTGATACAAGGGTGCCACTGCTTTGGAGAAAGGCGTGTGGTGAGGGGGTGGAGGTAGGGGGGGTTGGTAACTTCTAGATATTTTGGCCTACCGTTTTTTTTGTTTTTTTTTGCTGATGTTGCTCTTATCCTTTATATATGCATTTGCTTTCTGTTTCGCTGTTTTTTTTTGGGGGGGGGGGTTGGTAGGGGGGAGGAGGGGTGGTGGCGATACATTCATTGATCCATTTCCCTCTTTCATTACTCCATTTTCCTCGTTTCCTGTGTCTCGTATGTTTCAACTCGCAACACTAAATGACCGGCCAGTGTCGATAGTGCCGTACCACATATACCCCAACACAAATCTGGATAGCCAATTTGTTTTTCGTGTTTTTAGAAAACCTATCAAAGTTTGAAACCTTGGATGGCAGTGTGAACAAATCCCTGAACACAATGTTTCTATTTCCAGGGAAATTTTCCTTGGGTGTCAAAGGTTCTCTGTTCAGCGTTGCCAAATTCTCCACTGACGTTTCGGATGTGTTTTGCTTCAATGACGTACAAAATATCGACGACATTTATAGGGTAAGACAAGATTTAGAAAGTTGTTGTAAGAAGAGTTGTACACTTGATGCTAACTAAAACATCTTGACTTCAAATTTAGCTTACCTGTTGTATTGGGTTTTTTTAAAAGCTAATTTAAAAACTGCAAGCTTGACTGATCAGTCGTCTGTTTACAAGAGACTATATTCATTTTCCGAACCTTTTTACCGCAAGATTGTTGTGAACAAAATATAATGGTAACCATATTCAGTTTTCGTGAACTGGAGCGCTTTCCAGTATTGGAATGAACGGATCCCTTTTAAAATAAACATCAACAATTTCCCCGCCACTTGCCAAATACTTTAGCCTATATTACTTAAGGTGATGAAATAATTGCTCATCGTAAAAGTAAAGCGCCCACTCATCAACTTTTCAGAAATTGGACAAAGCAGAATTCCAAGGAGGAAAAGAGAGGAACATTGGGAAGGCCTTCAAACACGCACTATCCAAATCATTCACAGCTAGATGTGGAGCCCGCCAAGGAGTGCCCAAGCTTGTCATTCTCCTTACAAATGGGCCCTCTGCTAACAGTTCGTGTCAATTATTATATCTAATTACTAAAAGATCATTCAATAAATTCAATAAATAACAGAAGGTGCCTGGTGTTCAGTACGAGCCCGTATTAAGGTTCCTTGATACATGATTTCAAGGCGTCTATAATCTTTCGATTTCTAGTTCTAAGATCCTGAAAGTATTTTTGTCTTGATGGTTCGTGATACTGTATTATCTGGGACATATTTGTTCAGGTAACTTTTTTTCTTATCGCTCCAATAGACTTAGAACCCTGTTCTGCATTAAAACTGAGTAATCTAGATGAAAGGACTTCTCCCCACATCCTTTCCTGGATGACAAAACTGTTGCCATGAAACCCCTATCAATTAAACAAACCTCTCTTCCTAGGCACACCAAGAACCACATTGAAGGTTAAATACACAAAAGTCTTTTCTGAACGAATTGTTAGTTAGTGCTCGCAAGACAATAACCGGCGTCTGAGGTGGAGCAGTTGGGCACCTTGTTGTTGCACACAGAAAAGTTCAATTTCAGGTTTTAGAAGTATTAATCTGCCAGGGTAGGCCATGAGAGTTGAAACCAGCCTTCTATAATTATTTTTAAAACATAAGTGTCGATGGGAGGCGTAATGATTTTTAAAAAAAATAGCTGCGGTATTTGTACGTTGTTTACAGCTGGTGGGCGCTCTTGTCTGGCCCGTTTTTATGCCATTAGTCGTTTTCCAACAACGTTAGAATTCAGGTTTTATGGCCGTTATTCAGTTATAATGTAAATGGGTCCCATGTTCGAAGGGAACAAACGGACATGAGGGTGGTTGTAGGGCACCACTGATAGGTCCTGCTTTACTTTCCCTCGTTTTTTTCTCACTTTTTCCAAGCACTTAATTTTAATGATCAGGGTGTCAATGTGATTATCTTTACTCCAAACAAAAGCATGGAACCGAAACACAAATAACTCGTTATTTCAAATTGATGCCAGTATATCTAAATTAATTCATCTCGTCTGTCTGTACTATCATGGCAGACTGTCAAGCTTTCGACAGGACTTTGAGTTATAATGTAGACGTCTGCACTTCAATCGTTCGCTTCTGTCCTCAGCAAAACTTGCCATTAGAGAAGCCAAGCAGTTGGTCCACTTTGGTGTATCCACCATTTCCCTGGGTATCGGCTCTGGTTTGGATCTTCAAGCGCTTCAGTCACTCTGCTCCAGTGACGACATGGCGTTTCATCGGGACGTATTCTCTCAAATCTCCGGGTTGGTGACGACAGTCTCCTTGGTGATTGAGGAAGTTGCTCTCCGTGAGTATTTTCAAAATGGCTGTAGAAATCCCCGTAAATATAGTAGAATAGAGGTAGATGGTCTAGGAAGGTTGTATTAAACAGGGTTGCACTAAGACTGCAGTTGGAAAGGGGAGGATGGTAGAGGACGTAGTGGGTTGATGTTGTATTGTATTTCAGTATGCTGGCTCACAAAGGTAAATGTGACCACAAGCTGCAACCTCCAACCTCTGAACTTGCTAAAGTTTTCAAAGCTGTGTATTCGCATGATTTTTTATTTTAACATTACTAAATTTACCCATAATATGACTTTGTTTTACAGCGCCCGGGACTCAAATATTCAGTTAGTCGGAAATTTTGAAATTTTGCCCAGCGTGGTTGTTTAAGCCTACTCTTATCGATTTTTTGACCACCGAGAGATCTTTAACGAGCGCAACTTGCACACGGGACCTACGAGATCTTTCTACCCTTATCCGAGAAGGCAACGTGTTAGATCTTATCGAAAGACAGCAGTAAGAAGCCAAGGAATAGCGGTAGAAAAGCTGCAGAAAGTCAATCCCCAGAAGAGGTGAGGGGGTGGAGGCAGAAAGTAGAGACGAAAGCGGACGACGGAATAATTATTGTAAGAGCAGGAAAGGAGTAATTTTCCGTCGTTATCTGGATTCGAACCTAGGATCTATTGAATGAGGAGCAAACACGGTAACCTGTCAACCATGAAACACCCCCCCCCCAAAAAAAAAAAAAACCCAAGAAAAATATAAATCTAGTAAAACAAAAACCCACTCCGAAAAACTTAGCGAAATAATAAATTACAAAAAACAAAGACACCCCCACCCCTCCAGGCCCCCTCCAAACATAAACCCGGAAAAAGCGAACAAACAAACAAATCCAGACTGGCACGAACGTTGCCCCCCTCAGATGAATTATTATGTCAGCAGCCCAGCTCACAGCATGGCAGCAACAGTCAGCAGCAGCAGCAGCAGCAGCAACGGTAGAGTCAGTCAGACTGAGGTCCCCCAGCAGTCCCCGTTTCACCCCGCCCGTCGCTCTAACAATACGTCCACTGCTATCTTTCTCCTCTCTTCTCT